GAGGAACTTTTTGGGAGAGACTACCAGCAGATGTCACAAAAGCGAGAAGCTTCAATTCATATAAAGAACCAATTGTGTCCTTTCTCACATTGTATGGGGAACAACCACCTTTGGAGTCCATATGTTCTATACTCATGCAAATAAATCAGGAAAGGCAGGTTATATGTCAGGAAATTTAAGTAAAGTGGCTTAAAGTGCTTATGAGTCTATCCAAACGTCAGAAGTATATGTTATTCTCATGGTATTAATGGATTTTCTTCATTAATGTATTAATGTAGTTACTGACTCTCGACATTCAGAAAGTGTTGTTTTACACATGAACTTATTCCTGATGAATCAGAATTAACTTTGTTATTTATAGAATTACAAATAGTCAGGAATAGGAAGTAAATATGTACATATCAGATCTCATATGAGTTTTCCAGGCCCTCTAGAACAGGGTAATGATGAAACTGAACAGTTAGTAGGAAATATACTGGAAGACTCAGAATTCCATAAAAAACACCATGTCAATGGCAAAGGTTTGAAAAAGGATTTTATATCACTTGGCAACAAGCCAAGAAAACTGTAAAAAAAATTCCTACTTGTTCTTTGTGTATAAAACTCCATTACCTGCAGGAAGGAAACCTGCAGGTATGCCAAGTAATGAAATTTGGCAAATGGATATGTTTCATTTTGAAGAATTTGGAAAATTAAAATATATATACTATACTATAGGTATGTTCAGGATTTCAATAGGCAACTGCTTTGAGTTCTGAAAAGGCTGATTCTATAATTACACACCTATTAGAAGTCATGGCCATCATGGGAATACCTGCACAAATTAATACTCTAGTAAAATGAAACAGTTTTTTGAATATTACAATATAAGGCATATTAGAAGTATAACACACAATCCAAAGGATCTAATTGAACTTTAAAAGAGACTCTTAATAAACAGAAAGAAACAAAAAAGAAACAAAAAACAGGAAGAAACAATAAAGACCCCCAGAGATAGATTGCATAATGCCTTACTAACTCTAAATTTTTCTAAATTCTAATAAGAAATGAATGACAGTTGTGGAGAGAAATTGGACAATAGAAAAAAAACCACTGAGCTAAATCAGCCCATGTACTTTAAGATGTGTTGACCTCAGAATGGAAACCAGTATATGTGTTACATTGGGGAAGGGTTTTTGCTTTTGTTTCCACAGGAGAAGAAAAGCTATAAATACCATCAAATATAGGAAGATTTGATTTGAACAGTAGAGACCTCTTAATTAGGACAAGTGATTGTTTCTCAACCAATATGGCAATTCAACATGCTAAAAAGAAAACTCACCCTATAAGGGTTGGGGCAGGGTTCTGTTTTGTCTTTACATGAAAATAGAAATACCTATCTTCAAGAAGACAAAATACTTTGGACATCTAGACATCTAATACAGAAGGGGAAAACTATCCAGAAAAAATATCACGTATAGAAAAATCTGACCTAATTGAACAAATTATTCTCTACAGGGTAAAAATCTCTGTAATGTGTTGCCTTCCTGCCAGCCTGGTCCCTGAGCCACGTCAGTCCCAAATAACACACAAGACACTATATTAATTATGAAGCTGTTGGCTGTATGCTTGGTTTCTTATTGGCTAGGTCTGACTTGATTATATTACACACATATATTTTACAAGTACTTATCTTTGCTAGGACACACTTCTGCTGTGTTTGTTCCTCCCAGGAGTCCCATGGCAACCAGCTCCTTCACTACATTTCCCAGAATCCTCCTAGACTCCTAGTCCCACCTATCTGGCTTCCCTATTGGCCAGTAGTGCTTTATTAACATATACAAAGGACTCTCCCATCAAATCTTACTACCTAAAAATTAAAATCTCTTTACTTCTCATACTATTCTTAGTCCTGACACAATTATAACATAAAGCTGGTTTTGCAGTTGGAGTGTGGCTCTCTCCTCTAAATCCAAGCATGTTGTTAAAAATTCAAAGTCTCTGTCTCATATCAGAAGAGCCACCTGATGTGGAACAGAAGAAAACCAAAATCTAGGGACTATTGTCATAAATCTTTTTCCCCTTATACTTATTGTGATGCTTTAGAACTTTTCTTTAGGTATACTACTATCTAAAATTTTTAGTTTTCCAGAGTGAATAATAAATTTTAACAGCTATCTCTGAAGTCTCCAAAAGGATGATGGGAGCCCCACATCAACTATTCTACCTGAGTCATAATAAAACTATTGATCTAATAAGCACTATTCAGAGATCAGTTTATAGCTATAAACTGCTCAGGACAATTCCAAGGTGGTAAACTGAGATGTTCCACCACCCTAGTCAGAACTTCAGATCAACTCTACTTATTACTCAGAGACTGTCTACAAGTGTTACAGCTAGTCCTCATGAGACTTAACCAAGGCTTTAGTCTTTTACAGGTTCTCATAGAGATACCATTGCCCTCCCCTCCCCCAGATATTCTAAGAAACTTATGCCCTCTTTCCCTGTAGGTGGGCTGGCTGGTATTGGTTTTTACCAGCAATATGTAGGGGGTTGCTAATCAGTTGTTATAGGGTTGGGGGCAGAACAATAGAGACTAGACTCAGGGACCTTGTATGGAATAGGAGAAAGGGGAAGAGATATGGCAGGATAATAAGGTAGATTATTATATCTACTTGTAAACTATAATCAGTATTAAATACTTTGCATGTGTATGGATTCTGGTATATTGATACAAATTCAAATTTTTTATTCCTGTTTAAGATAATTTGTATACTGATACAAATTCAATATTATATTTGTTATATTATGTATATGTTCCCACTTCTGTTTAAAATGTTTTTGTATATTGATGCAAATGTAAAATTATTTTTGTCATACTGTATGTATGTTTTTATTTCTGCTTAAGATATTTTATATATTGATGCAAATTAAAGTTAGTTTTGTCAGCCGGGCGTTGGTGGCGCACGCCTTTAATCCCAGCACTCGGGAGGCAGAGGCAGGCAGATCTCTGTGAGTTCCAGGCCAGGCTGGACCGACAGCCTCCAAAACAGAGAAACCCTGTCTCGTAAAACCAAAAAAAAAGTTAGTTTTGTCATATTGCATTATATATTTCTACCTATGATTAAGATATTTTTGTCTATTGCCACAATTTTGAGGACATTGTCCTCATACTGCACTGTTTATTTTTATAATGTGAAGCTTTAGTCTTTTAGCTATATAGGTTAATAATAACTACAGGTTAATATTTGCCCATGTTTGTTAAACTGATATTAGTCAGGTTTTCTAGTGCAAAGAAATATAGTCTGCAAAGATAGGTAATCTTCAACACTTCAAAGACCTATATAATGTGTCATTTAAATGTTGTAATAACTTAGAATTATGTTTATGTGAGACACAACTGCTCTTGGCATCACTGATCGACTCCCCAGAGGATGATAGGCACTGAGTACACTCCATATGGAGTTTGTTTTTTCATGGCAAAACTGGCCTACTGTGCAAAACCTGCACTTGCCTTGACTGCTGAGAGTAAGCATGCTGTCTAATCAGGACAAGCAGGACACAAGGAAAAGTGACTGCTGAACCACTAAAAGGAACACATTACATCACCCTCAGAGATGAGAGAGCAGATTCCAGAATAGGCACAGTTGCATAGGAGAATGCCAGCAACTCATCACTTTTGTGGTCTGGATAACAATAGGGTAAGCGCCCTTGTAACATGTGAATGACGTATGAACTTAATACCTTCTTCACTTAGGGAAACATTTGCTATATACTAGGGGACTCCCAGTGTTCCCAACATAGCTGTGGCTATGAGAATCCATCTTATAGTGGACAGGGATCTGGGATAGCAATTCTAAGAAATGTGATTCCAGGAGAGAGGCATGGCACTCAGAGCTCACCCATCCCTCTGTATCCCAACACAGTGCCTCTTTCCCACCTCTGTTTCTTGAACATTCCCACAGAAGTCTGATGGTGGATGTCCTTGTGTAAGTTGTGAATATGTGTTTCTCCTGTTGGTTGATAAATAAAGCTGTTTCAGCCAATGGACAGGCAGGATGTAGCCAAACAGGAAGGATAAGTGGACCACAAGGTGAGGAGAATGCTGGGAAGAGGAAGACAGAGAGAGTCACCAGGGCGACACCATGTAGCCAGAGAATTATGAGTAAGCCACAGCCTCATGGTAATACATAGTTTAATAGAAATGGATTAATAATTAAGAGAGAGAGCTAGCCAATAAGAAGCCTTAGCCATCCACCAAAGAGTTTATAATTAATATTAACCTCTGTGTATTTATTTGGGAATAGACGGCTGCGGGACCACACAGGACAGAAACTCTATCTTTAGAAATCATGACAAAATTGAGGCTAAGATTGGTGCATGCCTTTAATCCCAGCACTCTGGAAGCAGGTAGATCTCTGTGCATTCAAGGCCATCCTGGTCTAGTCTACAGAGGGAGTTCCAGGACAAGCTCCAAAACAATACAGAGAAACCATGTCGAGAAAAACCAAAACAACAACCACAACAACAAAAAGGAAATATTGACTATTTGTAGATAGTTTCATTGAAAATAATTTCTCAGGCGAGATAGAAGCAATGTGAGTGGAGTTGTGATCAGTGACCTGGCCCTCAGGGGCAAACATGTGACGGCTTCAATAGGAAGGTTGAGGTCATAGTGAGTAAGGATTCACCAGTGACAGCATGACTGCATGGCATTTACTCTACATAGGTCTGTGTAAACCTTCAAAAATTTCAAAGAACATTTTTATGACTACAATATGTATTTTACCTAATAAAAGAGTAGAGACTGTGGTTGGATCCAAAACATGATATTAGTTGTGTAAGAAGGGAACAAATGAGACTTTGTTGAGAAGGAAGCCAAGAGTTCTTTGCGTACAGATCCTCATTTCTTCCTGGATCAAGGATGGCATCAGCATCTCCTTTCCCAAAAAACATGTAACTGAGCAAAGGCCCCAGCTGAAGCATAGGTCTTCCTTGCCCTGGTCCACAGAAAGCCCAAGTTTACTATCAAATTCTCTTTATGTAACTGATGATGGCATTTATAAGTTTCATAGAGCAGGGGAAGGAAAAACACTTCTTATCAAACAACAATATGCACCCATGAAAGCCATCTTCCACATGGTACCAGCTCACAGGGACCCCCTGCTCTTCCAAGCGCCTCTTGTAGAGCAAGGCATCATCCCGGAGGATGTCATGCTCACAGCTCACCAGAAGTGTCTTAGGAAGCTGAGCAATGATCTTGTCATCTGCTAGAAGAGGTGAAATTTTTGCACAACAAGCTTGTTTGGTTTCTAGGTAGGCGGCCTCATTAAAAGGCCCAAGAGTCTCAGGTTGTGGATCTGGGCTCCAGAACCTTTTGGGGATGTTGTCATAGCTGAGCCATTTCCTGTATTTCTTCCAGTCTTCCAGAGGTATGGCAGCACCTGTCAACATGGCATCTTTCCAAGAGGGGTCAATGTCCAGGAATTTACACAAACACATAAACAAAATGTCTCTGGTAAGGAATGGCACATTTTTGTTCTGCTGATGTGATGGTAACTGAAAATTGATGAAATTCAAGAGTGGACAAATCAGTATTTGAGCCTTGATCTGGGGTAGACTGGGAATGCTGATTAAGGCCTGCATGACAACGGCCACAGCCCAACCTCCAATACTCTCTCCGCAGAGAACCACCTGGGATGGATCCACCCCAAAGGACTCCAGGTTCTTCAAGAAGTAGATGGAAGTATTCAGACAATCACTGGTAGGGACAGGGTGCTTGCGGTACCTAAGGAGGAAAGAGGAAATATTGTGAGCTTCTTTGCAATGGGGGTGACTGGAGGCCATTTTAATCATCATCCTCTACTCTCAAAAGGGACCAAACCTGACTCCATCCCCAGAGCAATCCTAACAAGTAAACATGGCGACCCTCACTTTTCCTTCATGGACTTCAGAAACCTTGAGAATGAGGGAGGCCAGGATGGTCCACTGTCACCCACACTGTGCTTCCCATAGATGAATATACCCTGCACAGAACCCACCAAGTTCAAACATGTTGTCTTAGAAAACAGAGCAACCAGCAAAGATTCAGGAAAGGCTACTGGAATTAACTCGTCTGGTCTCACCTCTTCCTGGATTCACCTTTCACTGATGTGCTGGGCACACGGTGAACACCCCTAAACACACTTTAAGTCGCTACCAACATTAGTAATAAGGCATCCATTCTAATGCTTATTTTCCTGTGATTAAGCAGAAGTGACAGGACATCAGGCAACTGGACTCTTCAGCGGTTTGACGATGACGATGCCTGGCCCTTGGGAGAACTCAGAAGCCTGAGGAACAGTGGTATCATAGACACAGGGACTATCCAGTGGCCATACAAGAGCAGAGATGAATCCTCAGGTGTGGCAGTGAGAGGTAGCACAGAAGCCATGCTGACAAAAGAAGCCAAACACAGCAGTAGACAGATGGTAAGGGAGACAGTCAGCAGTGACCACAGCAGGAGACCTGAAAGAAGCAGCAGCAACTGTCGATTTAAAGGGCCAAGGGTTCCACACACTCCATGTCAGGAACTGTGACTAAGTGATTGTCAAGGTCTGGGGAATTGTGACCTGCTCGACCATGTCAGGAGTTGTATATTAAAAGCAAACAAACAAATAAGAACTCCCTAGGGTCTGGTCCCCCTTTCTGTGACCTAATGCCATCCAGATGGTTCCAACAATTACCCTACCATCTATGAGTCACCATATGTCTCAGGCCACTCACCCCACCATCAGCACCACTGAGTCTGTCTCACTGGCCAAGAGGCTGCCCAGGCTATGGTAACAGTCTGCAAGAAAGGACACAGTGTTAAAGCGGTGACAAGAACCAGACACTTCCCACCACAGCTCTGGGACAGCAGCTACCTTGGTGGACTCAGAGAGGACATCTTCTCTCCGAAGTTCAGAGAAGTTCGGTGGCTACAGCAGGTGAAGGGCGGGAAGAGACACAAGCGACAAGACTGGAGAGGACATCAAGGGTGTGAGAGAGACTGCAATGCAGCAATGACAGGCCCTGAGTATATTTTGGGGACCCTTCTTTTGAGAAGATGAGACGTGGAGATAGGATACGTGCTTTGGGTTCAGCAGTGAAGGGGATGAAGGGAATGGATTCTCTCCACCTTGTGTCAGCCAAGCTGAGGAGAGGGCATGAACTTGAGAGTGTCGTGAACAGGCAGAAATGGTCAGTGCTATCAGTGGAGAGCAAAGGAGGAATCATGTCCAGTTCTAGGTCAGCCCTACTCTGACATGCGGCCCCTCTCTAGACTTAGACCAATATAGAAAATATTGTTATATAAGCTATAAGTCATTGACTAGGGTGAGCTCCCCGGTCTCTGCCCATCTTCTCTTTAAGAGGCTCCAACTCCTTCCTCCTGACAAGTCCCCATGAGACCGTGGGTCAGAGTCCACCTTTGATAAAGACCTTCCTCCCCACCTCGAATGTAAGCTCCTTACCCAGGCTTCCAATCACTGCACCTCCTCCGTGATAGAAGATGATGCCTTGCCGGGGTTGGGAAGACACTTTCTTGGGCTTCAGCAGCCTCACAGGGATTGTCCCAAAATGCATGTCAGTCACCAACACATTGGGATCCTTCTTTATTGTCATTAGGCCTTGGAGAAACTGTACAAAGCTGGGCATGGCACAAATCCTCAGTTTCTCTAGTGTGTTCCCCTGTAGTAGGTAGAGGATGGGCAGTGAGGCACAAGAGAGTGTGAGTAGCTGCTGAAGCCACTTAGCATTGCTCGGGTGTGTTCGCCATTTGTCACCTGCTTACTCCATGTGCAACGGGGACAGAACTTACTGTGCATTCTCTTCATATAGGGGACCTATTTGAAATTTTATTCCCAAAATGACCTGAATGAATGATGATGTTGCTGTGATTGGAGTGTTGGCCTCCCTCCATCAAAATTCACATTCAAATTCCACTGTCAATGTTAAGAGGTCGGCATTTTAAGTGGAGATGATGTGGTACCCTCTTAAGCCATGTATGAGGTGACTGTGATAAGTATTTTCATAACAGGCTCCTGAGGAGGGAGGTCACCTGGTTTTTCTGTCCTATGAGCAGAGGCATACCTTTCCTTTTCTACTAACAGGTGACATATGGTAGCCCATCGCTGGGACCACTGCTCTAGGTCTTCCCAAATTTCAAGAATGGTTACAGCTATTACTCTTTGCTCTGGGTTACACCAAATTGCTTGGTGTGGTCACAGCAAGCTGACAGAGGGAAAAATGAAAGGAAACCTCATGGAGGTGCCTCAGGATGAAAGAACCAGATGGATAATTGAGACAATTGATAGAATATTTTCATAACATTAGACCTTGCTAATACATACTTTGTAGTGTTTCTTTGGACCCTGGATCTCAAGGCCATTTTGTATTTTCTTGAAATCATCAGCAGAGTACCTTGAGAATCATATCTCACAGGTGTGCTCCTTGTCATGGGATGGTGACACAGGACCATGCTTTACTACCCTACCTATCCTTTGTAAAATTTCATCGCATAGACAGCAGATTGCTAAACTTTTAGTGTTCTACAGATTGACAATTAACCTAAATGGCATGCAGGAGCACCTTAAAATAGAGATGGAAGATGAATAATCAATCCAACAGGTTAAAAGGACCATGCATAACTGTAAAATTCTTGGGAGTGCTGTGGTCCACTAAGACACATATGAAACCTGACAAATTAATTGACAAAATCCTACAACATCTGGTGACTGCAAGAATCCATGGACTCCTGGGATATTGGCAGATTTTCATAAGCCATCTTGCCCAAGTTGCCTGCCCACTATGCAAGAAAAGGCACAATGGACTTTTAGTGACTTAGATCACTGTAGGATAGTCTAAGGAGCTGTGTGTGCCTCTTCCCCATTGGGGAGAGCAGATGTGCATGGGGCTTTAAATAAGTCAACTTGACCCAAGAGATGATAGTAAGGACACTGCGTAGAACCTGTGCATTTCAGGGAAGGATGAAAATATGTCTGGATGGACATCACTACAGGCTTCTTCCCAGAATTTCCATGTAAGAAAGGAACAAAAACAGCCACTATCAAGCACCTCCCACAACACAGTGGCAAAGGTTGGCACTCACAGAGAATTGACGGTGACAAGGGTAGCCATTTCACAAACTCATGTGGCAAACAGGATGGAATACAATCAGGACCAAAGACACATCCACCACCATAGAGTCCTACTTGGCCTGGTTTACTTTTTAAATAGATTATTAGAACAAGAGTTAAAGAGTTTAAGGGCAGAGGCACCTGCAGGGGTGCACAGGGCCCTTCTAGAGGCCATAGTTTGTTAATGAAAACCACAGGTGCCAGAGAGGGCTTTCCTCCCTACAAGTTGTTGGCTGGAGAGACTTCTGAGGCCCCGTAAAACATAAAGGATCTTGCCACTGCAGTTGGTGAGACTACTAGAGACACCATGTGCTCTGGTTACAGGACAGGGAGAAATAAACCTGGGACAGAGGTGGCAGTTTTCATCTTACTGGCTATTTTTCGTAGTGCCAGAAGGTGCTATGTGGGCTGCTGGAGGAGAACTGGAGGAGAAAGCCCTGCTCAGCTATGGTCGCTGCATGCCATAGTACCAAATGCCAGACAAGCTGTACCTGATTGTGGAAGGTAATACGACTATTGGGGGACAATCAACAGCTTTCCATTGCATGCAATGCCCATTGTATATTAGAGACTTCATGTCTGGTACTGTGAAGCCAAGACAAAATCCAATGGCTAGGGGATCCATAGCTACCAGAGGGGAGCCTGATAGTTTTTGCTTAATGTGTACAATGTGCTTAGCAAACTGCCCTTGAACATTTGTGCATAAGCCCAACAACCACTGTTGCTGTTGCCCTCAGAATTCCTTTTGCAAGTGATGTTGTGCCACAGAGGACTGAAACCACCAATGACACTCCTAAGAACAAGTGATCTCCAGGTGTCAAATTGAGGTTCTCAGGCCTGTCAAGCAGTAAAAGCCTCCAAAGGACTCTAATATCAGAGATCAGAGGCCATATTCTTGATAAAGACACCCACCCCCTCTGTATTATATTGGTGGCTGCTTCTTCCTTAGAGGCCATCACTGTACTGCCCACACTGGAAGCCACTGAAGACACTATTGCAAGTGCAAAATGACTTAGGTGTCTCCCTTCCACTGAGCCAGAAGTCTATGGGGAGAATAACCCCATGCACGCCATTTCACTCCTGTTGTCTACATCTACAATAAATAATAAAGGATTGTTCAAGATTCAAGGCATGTAGGACACTTTCAAAGAAGGAGTAAATATTCTTTTTTTTTGTTGTTCAGGACACAAAACGTGGCTAAGCTTCTCACTTGGGAACCATGGAATGTTTCCAGGCTATTTTTTCTCCTACATAAACATCTTCTCTCTCTTTTCTATGTTTTTGGCTGTGTGAACATCAACCTCTTGGATCTCTTCATGCTCACCATTCTTATAGGGAGTATGGCTGGGATCTCTGGCCTGGAGAGGTCAGGCAGAGTCTCTCATATAGAACTCACCCTGCAGAGCCAACTCCACATCTGCTGTGACCATATGTAGCAAGCCAGCATCATCAGTTGCTTAACTTAGGGACTGTTGTGAAAGGAAAACAATAAGGTTATAATGATCCACATGTTTCTGTGCCTTGGGGACGCAAGGCCCTAATTTGTATTGCCAGGATCTCAAATAAGCTTGTGGCCCTTAAACTGTCTTATTTCTCTAACATGGTTCATGGTTTGTGGTGGGAAATTTCACAGGAAATGAACATTTTTTTCTGAGACATAGTTTTTCTGTATTGTTTTGGAGATTGACCTGGAACTTGCTCTGTAGACCAGGCTGGCCTCAAACTCACAGAGATCTGCCTGCCTTGCCTCCTGAGTGCTGGGACTAAAGGCATGCGCCACCATGCCTTTTTTTTTTTTTTTTACAACATGTTTTTCCCCAGCATGCTCATTCAGAAGTCATTATTTCATTGCAGACAAGGACGCTGAGTCATAGAGAACTTAGTCAAGGGGCTCTTGAACCAGTGCAAATACAGCAGCAGTGCTTACCAGACTGCCTCACTGTGCACTCATCAACTTCCTCCTTATACATCCTCCTCAGCTGACCTTTGAGGTTATCACTGTGAAATATCTGGCAACTGCCAGGTTTCCAATCACAATTTCAACATCAAAGACTCATTCTCATATGGGGCCAAACAATCCTTCTCGATTTAGCTGTAACTATCGTCATGAGCTGATCTCTCTCTAATTTCCAGCCCAGAAGGCCAACACAGAGCACCACTGTTTGTGCACCTATGCTAAAGGGCTGGGTGAATCCATGACACTGATTTCATCACAGAGGGCCTGACCTGTGCTCAGAATAAGCTGAGTAAGTTCACCCCTGTCCTCAGGGTCTCACATGGATGTAAGAAATCACCAGGAGACAGTCACAAGGAGCAAGGGGAGAGGGGAAAGTAGCCCCTTGTGTGTTTTAGTCTAACAGGCTTTAGGGGGTAGCACCTGCGTCTGAAACTATTTTCATTATCTTCAGAAAACAGCTTCATACACAAGCTGAGTGACACAGCCTGTAATTTCATCCCTGAGGAGATGGGAGAAACAGAAGGCCAGTTTAATGATAAAGCCATTCTAGATACATTGTGAGATCCATTCTCAGCAAGGAAGAAAATAAAAACAGGAAGTGGAAGAAGAGAGAAAAGAAGGAAGAGGAGGAGGAAGCAAGGGAGAGAGGGGAAACTGAAGACAAGAAAAAGGGAAGGGTGAGAGTTGGGAGATAAGAGAATCCCCCACTCTGTCTTATTAGAACCTAGAGAAAGAAGGGAAGGACTTGAAAGGAGAATGGTAAGCTTCAAAGAACACCCCCAACCCATGGTGGGGCCCAAGAGAAAACTCACCAAAGTTATCACATACAGCAGCATGCAGTGAAGAAACCATAACTTGACCGGATGCTTGAGGGTGGATGGAATTTCTGTAGTGAGAAAGTGCTGGATAATAACCCACACAAAGACTCCCAGTAAGAATGAGGGCAGCACGACTAGCAGCAGCATCCACAGCACAGCCATGACCCAGATGCTCCAGAGCTCCCAGCAGCAGTTGCCTGGGGAACTTACTTCAGAACTTCTGAGAAGAGCACCCGATCCTGTTTTGTATGCTGCTGTCTCCACCCTCTCCTGCCAGGGTATGTCTGGCACAGTGACCTGACCAGTGTCCCAGAACTTCACAGAAGCCAGCCAATGATAACTCAGGTTTAGACTCTCACTATCATCCCAGCATCTATGGGCCCCAAGAAGAGGCCTGACAAGGCTGCACAGGCCAAAAAGGCCTGACACTTCATCTGTATGAATGACATACTCTTCCTTCAGCGATGGAGTCCGGGTTAAGGTGAACAAGGCACATCTCAACAGAACTCTGTGTTTTACTGCCCTCTGATTGTTTACAGACACATGCAGGATACAGACCTGAGGAGACTCTTCTCATTACAACCATCAGTTAATGGTCAGCAAGATGATCAGCGGGTAAATGAAAGCACTTGCCAATGCGTCTGAAACCTGAGTTTGATCCCAACAATAGTACAAGGAGAGAGTTGACTCCTCAGTGTCATCCTCTGACCTCTACAGATGGGCTGTAGTAAGCACGTATACACACACACACACACACACACACATCCACACCCACACCCACACCCCCACATGAATAAGTTTACTTTTTAATTAAAACAATGACAACCAGTGTCTGGGCTGGCAGGATGGCTCAGCAGGCCGATGTCCTTGCCACACAAGCCTGACAAACTCAGATCAAGCCTCAGGATCCACATTAAAAAGTCAGATGCACCCAGGGAGTCCAGCTTCAGGTGAGATTGGGTCTCCGGCGGGGATCACCCATCCCCCTCCATCTTCTGGGCCGCTCCCGGCTTCCAGAAGAGCCGCCCACACAGGAAAGAGATCAGCCCCTCCAAGACCCCAACCCAGCGAGCCCAGCTTCAGAAGAGCCGCCCACACAGGAAAGAGATCAGCCCCTCCAAGACCCCAACCCAGCGAGCCCAGCTTCAGAAGAGCCGCCCACACAGGAAAGAGATCAGCCCCTCCAAGACCCCAACCCCAGCGAGGCCAGCTTCAGCTTCAGCTGCAGTAAGGAAGGAGACCAGTGGAGACAGAAAGCCCCCACCAGCACCCACTGGAAGAAGAGATGGGAAGAAGACAGAATAAGAGATCACTCAGCAATAGAAACACCAACACGACCCCACCAGAATCCAGGGATCCAACACCAGCAAGACCTGAAAAGCACTACATAGATGAAGAAGAGGAGACAGACCTTAAAAGTTATTTCATGAAGATGATGGAGAGCCTCAAAGAAGAAACGAGGAAATCCCTTAAAGAAATAGAAGAAAAAACAAACAAAAAATCCATGAAATGGGGGAAAATTCAAGAAATAAACAAATCTCTCAAAGAATCTAAAGAGCACCAAGAAAAACAACCACGAAAATTAAGGAAACAGCTCAAATAGTTGAAGGATTGAAAGCTGAAATAGAAACGATAAAGAAAACACAGAATGAAGGGATGCTGGAGATAGAAAAGCTCGGTAAACGGTCTGGAATTACAGATGCAAGTATCACCAATAGAATACAAGAGATAGAAGAGAGAATCTCAGGTGTTGAAGACTCATTAGAGGACATAGCATCGTCAACCAAAGAAAATCTCAAAACCAACAAATCCTTAACACAAAATATCCAGGAAATATGGGACACCGTGAAGAAGCCAAACCTGAGAATAATAGGTATAGAAGAAGGTGAAGAACTTCAACTTAAAGGTACAGAAAACATATTCAATAAAATCATAGAAGAAAACTTCCCTAACCTAAAGAAAGATATGCCTATGAAAGTACAAGAATCTTACAGAACACCAAATAGGCTTGACCAGAAAAAGAAGTCACCTCGCCATAATAATAATCAAAACATCAAACCTACAGAGCAAAGAGAAAATATTAAGAGCAGCTAAAGAAAAAGGCCAAGTAACATATAAAGGCAGACCTATCCGAATTACACCTGACTTCTCAATGGAAACGATGAAAGCCAGAAGATCCTGGTCAGATGTCCTACAAACGCTAAGGGAACAAGGATGCCAGCCCAGACTACTATATCCAGCAAAGCTCTCAATTACCATAGATGGAGAAAACAAAATATTCCATGACAAAGCCAGATTTAAACAATACGTATCCATGAATCCAGCTCTACAGAAAATGCTAGAAGGAAAACCTAGAGCCAAGGAAGATAACTACATTCACAAAGACACAGGCAATATATAATCATACTTTTCAAAACACTAAAAGAAAAAGGGAGGAGAAACTACACAAAATAACTTCACTAACAATAAATCAAGCGCAAACAAGGATCACCAATCAATGGTCATTAATATCCCTCAATGTCAACGGCCTCAACTTACCTATAAAAAGACACAGACTAGCAGAATGGATACGAAGACAGAACCCTTCCTTCTGCTGCATTCAAGAAACACATCTCAACACCAAAGACAGACGTTATCTCAGAGTAAAGGGCTGGGAAAAGATCTTCCAATCAAACGGCCCCAAGAAACAAGCGGGCGTAGCAATCCTAATATCTAACAAATTAGACTTCAAATTAAAATCAATCAAAAGAGATGAAGAAAGGGCACTTCATATTCATCAAAGGAAAAATACATCAAGACGAAGTCTCGATTTTAAATATCTACGCCCCAAATACAAAGGCACCTACATTCGTGAAAGAAACATTACTAAAGCTCAAAATGCACATAAAATCTCACACTCTAATAGTAGGAGACTTCAACACTCCGCTCTCACCGCTAGATAGGACCTCCAGACAGAAACTTAACAAAGAAATAAAAGAATTAATAGAAGTTATGACCCAACTGGGTTTAACAGACATCTATAGAACATTCCACCCAAATACAAAGGGATATACCTTCTTCTCGGCACCACATGGAACCTTCTCTAAAATTGACCACATAATAGGAAACATAGCAAATCTCCACAGATACAAAAAATTGGAATAACCCCCTGCATCTTATCAGACCACCATGCATTAACATTAGAATTCAACAATAACACAAATCGCAGAAACCCTACAAACTCATGGAGATTGAACAATGCACAATTGCACCATCCCTGGGTAAAGGAACAAATAAAAAAAGAAATTAAAGACTTCCTCGATTTCAATGAGAATGAAGACACAACATACACAAACTTATGGGACACTTTGAAAGCAGTGCTGAGAGGAAAGTTTATAGCACTAAGTGCCCACATGAAAAAACTGGAGAACAGTCATACTAGAGAATTAATAGCACAGCTGAATGTTCTAGAACAAAAAGAAGCAAACTCCCCCAGGAGGAGCAGACGCCAGGAAATAATCAAATTGAGGGCTGAAATCAATCAAGTAGAAACCAGGAAAACATTGAGAAGAATCAATGAAACAAAGAGTTGGTTCTTTGAGAAAATCAACAAAATAGACAAACCTCTGTCCAAACTAACCAAAAGACAGAGAGAGAACATGCTAATTAACAAAATCAGGGATGAGAAAGGGGACATAACAACGGACTCTGAGGAAATCAAGAGAATCATCAGGGCATACTTTGAAAATCTGTACTCCACAAAATTTGAAAATTTAAAGGAAATGGACAATTTCCTGGATAGATATCACTTGCCAAAACTAAATCAAGAACAGATAAATAATCTAAACAGACCTATAACCCCTAATGAAATGGAAGCAGTCATCAAAAGTCTCCCAAACAAAAAAAGCCCAGGCCCAGATGGCTTCAGTGCAGAATTCTACCAGAAATTCAAAGAAGAGCTCATTCCAATACTCGTCAAAGTATTCCACACTATAGAAGCAGGAGGCTCACTGCCAAACTCTTCCTACGAGGCTACAATTACCTTGATACCCAAGCCACACAAAGACACAACTAAGAAAGAGAACTATAGACCAATTTCCCTCATGAACATTGATGCAAAAATACTCAATAAAATACTTGCAAACTGGATTCAAGAACACATCAGAAAAATCATCCACCATGATCAAGTAGGCTTCATTCCAGGAATGCAGGGATGGTTCAACATTAGAAAATCTATCAATGTAATCCACCATATTAACAATCTGCGAAAGAAAAACCACATGATCATCTCACTAGATGCTGAAAAAGCCTTTGACAAAATCCAGCACCCCTTCATGATAAAGGTCCTAGAGAGATCAGGGATAACAGGAACGTACCTGAATATAATAAAAGCAATATACAGTAAACCAACAGCTAACATCAAACTAAATGGAGAGAAACTCAAAGCAATTCCTCTAAAATCAGGAACAAGACAAGGCTGTCCACTCTCTCCATATCTCTTCAATATTGTACTTGAAGTTCTAGCTACAGCAATAAGACAACAAAAGGAGATAAAGGGGATACAAATAGGAAAAGAAGAAGTCAAACTTTCATTATTTGCAGATGATATGATAGTTTACATAAGTGACCCAAAAACTCCGCAAGGTTACTCCTAGAGCTGATAAACACCTTCAGCAATGTGGCAGGATACAAGGTAAACTCAAAAAATCAGTGGCCCTATTATATACAGATGATGAAGTGACTGAGAAAGAAATCAGAGAAACATCACCTTTTACAATAGTCAAAAACAGCATCAAATATCTGGGGATAATGTTAACCAAGGAAGTGAAAGACCTGTATATCAAGAACTTTGTGTCTTTGAAGAAAGAAACCAAAGAAGATACCAGAAAATGGAAAGATCTCCCATGCTCTTGGATTGGTAGGATCAACATAATAAAAATGGCAATCTTGCCAAAAGCAGTCTATAGATTCAATGCAATCCCTATCAAAATTCCATCACAATTCTTCAAGGACCTGGAAAGAACATTAATCAACTTTATATGGAAAAACAAAAGGCCCAGGATAGCCAAAACATCCCTATACAATAAAGGAACTTCAGGAGGCATCACCATACCTGACTTCAAGCTCTATTATAGAGCTATAGTCCTGAAAACAGCTTGGTATTGGCACAAAAATAGGCAGGTAGACCAATGGAACCGAATCGAAAGCCCTAATTT